TTTATTTCTGCCTTCATTTCATTATTTATCCAGTCAACATTCAAGAGCCAGTTGTTCAGTTTCTGAGTTAGTTTCTGAATTCTGAGTTCTAATTTGATTGCACTGTGGTCTAAGAGACTGTTATAATTTCTATGCATTTGCATTTGCTGAGGAGTGATTTACTTCCAATTATGTGGTCAATTTTAGAGTAGGTGCGATGTGGTACTGAGAAGAATGTATGTTCTGTGGATTTGGGGTGGAGAGTTCCGTATATGTCTATTAGTCCAGGTCTGAGTTCAAGTCCTGAATATCCTTGTTAATTTTCTGTCTCATTGATCTAACATTGACATGGGGTGTTAAAGTCCCCCACTATTATTATGTGGGAGTCTAAGTCTCTTTGTAGGTCATTAAGAGCTTGCGGCTGGGTGCGGTGGCTCATGCCTGTAATCCCAGAACTTTGGGAGGCCAAGGTGGGCGGAACACGAGTTCAAGATATCGAGACCATCCTGGCCAACATGGTGAAACCCCATCTCTACTAAAAATACAAAAAAAATAGCAGGGCATGGTGGCACGTGCCTATGGTCCCAGCTACTCAGGAGGCTAACATGGAAGAATTGCTTGAACCCAGGAGGTGGAGGCTGCAGTGAGCCAAGATTGCGCCACTGTACTTTAGTCTGGTGACAGAGCAAGACTGTCTCAAAAAAAAAAAAAAAAAAAACTTGCTTTATATATCTGGGTGCTCCTGTATTGGGTGCATATATATTTAGTATCGTTAGCTCATTTTGTTGCATTGATCCTTTCACCATTATGTAATGCCTTTCTTTGTCTCTTTTGATCTTTGTTGGTTTAAAGTATGTTTTAACAGAGACTAGGATTGCAACTCCTGTTTTTTTTTGCTATCCATTTGCTTGGTAAATCTTCCTCCATCCCTTTATTCTGAGCCTATGTGTATCCTTGCATGTGAGATGGGTTTCCTAAACACAGCATACCAATGCGTTTTGACGTTTTATCCAATTTGCCAGTCTGTGTCTTTTGATTGGGTATTTAGCCCATTTACATTTAAGATTCATATTGTTATCTGTGAATTTGATCCTGCCATTTTGATGTGGGCTGGTTGTTTTGCCCATTAGTTTATGCAGTTTCTTCATTGTATCGATGCTCTTTACCATTTGGCACATGTTTGGAGTGGCTGGTACTGGTTGTTTCTATGTTTAGTGCTTCTTTCAGGAGCTCTTTAAAGCAAGCCTGGTGGTGATGAAATCTCTGAGTAATTGCTTGTTCATAAAGGATTTTATTTCTCCTTCACTTATGAAGCTTAGTTTGGCTGGATATGAAATTCTGGTATGAAAGTTCTTTTCTTTAAGGATGTTGAATATTGGCCCCCAGTCGCTTCTGGCTTGTAGGGTTTCTGCTGAGTGATCTGCTGTGAGTCTGATGGGCTTCCCTTTGTGGGCAACCTGACCTGTCTCTCTGGCTGCCCTTAGCATTTTTTCCTTCATTTCAACCCTGGTTAATCTCATGATTATGTGCCTAGGGTTGCTCTTCTTGAGGAATATCATTGTGGTGTTCTTTTTATTTCCTGGACTTGAATATTGGCCTGCCTTGCTAAGTTGGGAAAGTTTTCCTGGATGATATCCTGAAGAGTGTTTTCCAACTGGGATTCATTCCCTCCATCACATGCAGGTACACCTATCAAATGTAGATTAGGTCTTTTCACGTAATTCCATATTTCTTGGAGGCTTTGTTCATTTCTTTTTCTCTTTTTTCTCTAATCTTGCCTTCTCGGTTTATTTCATTGTGTTGATCTTTAATGTCTGATATCCTTTCTTCTGCTTGGTCGATTCGGCTATTGAAACTTGTTTATGCTTCGTGAAGTTCTCGTGTTGTGTTTTCAGCTCCATCAGTTCATTTATATTCCTCTCTAACCTGTTTATTCTAGTTAGCATTTCATCAAACCTTTTTTCAAGGTTCTTAGTTTCTTTGCATTGGGTTAGAACATGTTCTTTTAGCTCAGAGAAGTTTCTTATTACCCACCTTCTGAAGCCTGTTTCTGTCAATTCATCAGACTCATTCTCCATCCAGCCTTGTTCCCTTGCTGGTGAGGAGTTGTGATCTCTTGGAGGAGGAGAGGCACTCTGGTTTTGGCTGTTTTCATCCTTTTTGTGCTGGTTTCTTCCCATCTTTGTGGATTTATCTACCTGTGGTCTTTGTAGTTGGTGGCTTTCAGATAGAGTCTCTGGACGTCCTTTCTGTTAATGATGAAGTTATTTCTTTCTGTATCTTAGTTTTCCTTCTAACAGTCACTCCAGACCCTGCTTGCCTGGGTATCACCTGCAGCAGCTGCAGAACAGTAAGAGTTGCTGCCAGTTTCTTCTTCTGTTATCTCTGTCCCAGAAGGATATCCACCAGAAGTCAGCCTGAGCTGTCCTTTATGAAGCGTCTCTGGATATACAGGGGTCTGGGAGCTGCTTGAGGAAACAGTCTGTCCCTTATAGGAGCTCAAGTGCTGAGCTGTGAGCTCCGTTGTTCCATTCAGGGCTGCTGGGCAGATACATTTAAGTCTGCTGCAACGGAACTCATAATCACCTTTTTTTCCCAGGTGCTCTGTCCCGGGAAGGTGGGGCTTTATTTATAAGTTCCTTTTGTGCTTCTGCCTTTTTTCACTGATGCCATGCCTAGCAAGGAGGTAGCCTAGTCACAGTCTGCCAGCAGAGGTGTTGCTGAGCTGCTGTGGGCTTTGCCCAGCTGCTGTGTGAACTTCCTTGCAGTTTTCTTTATAGGGGTGTACTTAGAACTGCCTCGGTAATGGCGGACTGTCTCTGTAGTGGTGGACTGCCTCAGAAGTGGCGGACACCCTTCCCTCCACAGAGCTGGACTGTCCCGGTTCCAGCTGTGCTCGCTGTGAAACGCTCAATCTGAAACAAAATATGTTTTTTGTGGGGGTGAGACCAGCTGAGCCAGATCACCTGGCTCCCTGTTTCAACCCCTTTTTTTCCAGTTGAATGGGTGACTGTCTCCCAGGTGTTCCAGTCACCAGTTGAACCAGCGCCTGGATTTGTGTGAGTTTTTGTGCAGAGACCTGCTGCGCCAGCTGAAACAGCTGCGTCGGCTAAAACAGCTGCGCTGGCTGAAACAGCTGCGCCAGAGACTCGTGGTGCTTTTTCGTCCAGGAATCTCCTGGTCTTTGGGCAGTAAAAATTCGTTTGGAAATGCAGTGATCACTTACCCTCCACCCTCTGTGTTTTCGCTGGGAACTACAATCCAGAACTGTTCCTGTTCGGCCATCTTGTATCATCCTCTCAACCCTTTGAGTTTTTATTTGCTTGTTGTTTCTGACCTCTGGCAATTCCCCTTATACTCTTTAAAGCTTGGCCTTTAAATGGATATTTTTTATATTTTATCTAGAAACACATTCTACCTATGCATTTATTGTGGGAGTTTTCAGGTCATCTAAAACAACATATTGCCAAAACTCAAAGTTCAGACTGGGGATTTTTTTAGTCACTTCTTTAAAATCCAACTTTCACATAGTAATATCTTTTCATTAATTAAAACAAAAGAACTGCATAGAAAATTATCAAAGAAAAGTTTATAGTCCGATTTCCAAGTATTATAGGTTCTCTCAAAACAGAAACATTATAAGTTTTAGAAATCTAGAGTTGGAAGCCTCACTCCTTACTGAAGCAATGCACCAATAAAATCAGAGGGGCCTCATAGTTATCCTGGTTTTACCATTAAATATACGACATTAAATGACTGATTTCATTACTTTTTATCTAAATTTCTCCAACTGTAAAACAGATAAATTTTATACGATTCCTGTGTAAACCTAATAAGTGTAATATTTTATCATTTTTATTGTTCAATACCATTTTGAACATTTCAAATAAAAAACTCTATAATTGATGCACTAGGTGACAGTTGAAATGAATCACTCCTAAGTACCCTTCCAGGTCTGAGATTCTACAGATGCAAAAGAAAATGATACAAATGAGGCCGGGCGCGGTGGCTCAAGCCTGTAATCCCAGCACTTTGGGAGGCCGAGGCGGGTGGATCACGAGGTCAAGAGATCGAGACCATCCTGGTCAACATGGCGAAGCCCCGTCTCTACTAAAAATACAAAAAATTAGCTGGGCATGGTGGTGCGTGCCTGTAATCCCAGCTACTCAGGAGGCTGAGGCAGGAGAATTGCCTGAACCCAGGAGGCGGAGGTTGCGGTGAGCCGAGATCGCGCCATTGCACTCCAGCCTGGGTAGTAACATGAGTGAAACTCCCTCTCAAAAAAAAAAAAAAAAAAAAAATGATACAAATGAAGCGAAATATAATTAGTGTAAATGTATGCAAGAAGTTTACTTTCAACATAGTCTCTGGGGTGGTCCTGCTCTACAGGAGAAGTCACAGAGCTGTAACACTGTGGCACCAAGAAAGCTACTTTAACATAAAAAAAAAAAAAAAAAAAAAAAAGATATGTAAGGAAAATCAGAAAATCATTCAGTTATCAACCCTCATATTTTGAGCTGGCATCAATTTTGGGTGTTCCCATGGTTAAGTATAAATATCATACTTTCATTTTTGGGCAAGGCGTGGTGGCTCACACTTGTAATCCCCGCACTTTGGGAAGCCAAGGTGGGCAGATCACCTGAGGCCAGGAGTTCAAGACCAGCCTGGCCAACATGGTGGAAACCTGTCTCTACTAAAAATACAAAAATTAGCCAGCTCTAGTGGCCCACGCCTGTAATCCCAGGTACTCGGGAGGGTGAGGCAGGAGAATTGCTTGAACCTGAAAAGAAGAGGTTATAGTGAGCCAGGACCACACCACTGCACTCCAGCCTCAGTGGCAGAGTGAGACTCCATCTCAAAAAATAATAATAATAAAATAAAATAAAAATAAGTATCACACTTTCATTCTTGATAAGCTTATTTCAAAGTGTTAATACATTTGTAGACATTTATAAGCTTTTTAAGGTATTATAAGGTTTACATTAATCTGACATGAGTCAGACCATACATAAGTAACATACCTGTAAACTGTTTATATTTTGAGCCCATTTCATTTTTTGTTTCTAAAGAGGCTGGTTGGCCTAAAAAACACTGCAGCTTTTCCTGAAAAATCTGTGCTGGAGTCATATTTAGTGGTAGATTCTGACTCTTTTTCTTGGACCTGAAATGACATCACGTTAAGGGAAATGAATCCAAATTTTGAAAAAAAAAAAAAAAAGATTTCACACATCAAGGACTAAACATTAGAGTTTAAGAAACAATGGGATTTACTTTTTATCTATCATACATGTAAAAAAGAAATATTCAAGGAAATATTATGATAAGACCCTCCACGATTATGATTCTAAAACACTCCCCCATTCTTATTTCTAATTGCTACCCTAAATATGGGCTTCACTAACACATAAGTGTGCTCAATAAATGGTTTTTGTTTGTTTTAAGACAGGGTCTCACTCTGTTGCCCAGGCTGAAGTGTAATGACAGGGTCATGGCTCACTGTAGCCTTGACCTCCCGAGATCAAGTGATCTTCCCACCTGAGCCTCCCAAGTAGTTGGGACCTCAGGCATGAGTCATCACACCTGAGTATTAATACATGTTTTAACACAAATAAGTAAGCCACTGAGCAGTTCAATACAGTAATCACCAACTATATGTGGCTATTTAAATTTAAATTAACTAAAATTAAATTGAAAATTTAATTCTTTGGTCTCACAAGCTGCGTTTCAATAGTTACTTGTGGTTAGTGGCTACCATAGTGGACAACACATTTCTATTACTGAAGAAAGTTTCCATTGGACAATGCTGAAAAGGATTCCACACAATATGTAAATACCAGCAATAAGAGAAATATAAAATACTTTACATAGTTCAATTATACTGTATCTTAAAATTGCCTAAAAATCCATACCTCATAAAATTGCTATCATGTTTACAGAACAGCTGGAAAGCCACACCAATTGAAACAGATGTCTTCCAGTCTCCAAGTTTATGTGTCAACCACACAGCCTCTGGAACCAGGCCACCAATAAATAGTAATTCAAGTGCATAGTCAACTGTCCACACATTAGAGAGCTTCTGATCTCTAACAACACTGGCCACCTTACAGTGTTGCAGAGGAATAAGTCGAAAGGACTGCTCTGTGAGTAAATTTTTAAAAATTGATTATTACAATCACATCCAAACTCACGCTTCCTTACAAAGGTATATTTATCTCTTCAATCAGTATTATCTACTAAACTCCACCAGGAAGATATGCATAAAATGGGTTAAAGTAATACTCAACATGCCCTAGAACACTTTTAGCACTGAAGAATATGCCTCACTCGTGGGTCATGAAACAAATACCAGCATTATTTTTAAAACGAAACAGAAGAAAGAAAAAACAGAGAATGGAATAGAAAGTATTAGACACAAATAAAGTTAAATATTGTTTAATGAAACTTTTGTGTCAGATAATATGTAAATACATACAAAAAACATTTATATCTACTAGACTATTTGTTCACAATGTAAAATTTATTACCACAACATGGGTCACAACGTGGAATTTGTTACTGTGGGATGCTCAGAAATACATGCTTATTTCTCATACTAGATTATGAAATGTAGAAGACAGAAATTACATTTTATCAGATTTTGTGTGACCCACAGTGTTATGCAATCAAAGACTAATTTGAGGTAACAGGCATATTAAGTGTTCAATATTAGTGTCAATTAGAAAGTAGAAAAATGTGATTTTCCGTAATCCTGACAAATAAGATTACCATCTGGCCTGGGATTTAATACAAAAGGGTAATATCATTCCCTCTGGCCTTCTGTCCCTTTCCCTAATTGAAGTAACTTGATAAAGCAACTTGAAAATAGAATAAAAGAAATGTTATTAAAAAACACGTTGATGGGATTTTTACTCATTCTCTCAAAATTTTTACTCATTCTCTCAAAAAGTGGTAAATAGCAATCATGAGCTTCTCTGTTCCTTGAAATGGTTAGTTTCTCACATGACTTACACAGGCTATGCCTACAACAAGAATTAACATTTTTGCTCTCTGACACACACATCTGGAAAACAAAAAAGTTTTCAACCACTTGGATGTACGATTCTGCATAAGCAAAGGAGCCAGGAGACTGGCTATATTTTTCCTATTTTTATTCACTATGAGCAAGGTACTATACAATTAAAATAACTTCAATAATTTAATTTTCTGAAAATTTTACTACTTTCACACAGTAAAAAAGTCCACCACTTTTTAAAATATCACACCAAATAAGCAACTCAAATCCCTAATACTGATTTCTGCTTAAAAAAATTCTGTTTAGAAAAATAAACATGAAATGTATATGTATCCTGAGACATTCACAGAACATGAGTTTGAACACGTAATTCAAAATCCATGGTTCTATGACTGATTATATTTGCTGACCACTTGTTGCCATCTTTTTTAAGCGTCTAATTATATTTTAACTTTTACTACTCTAACCTAGGTGTGCCTTATACATACATATCAGTTCATGTCTACCCTTGCTTTAAGCCCTCCAACAGCTTCCCATAATACTTAAAAATCAGATTTCTTAACTCGGCTTACATCATCTGGCCCATTTACTGAATGCAACTCATACTACTCTCCCCTTCTTCCTCTAATTTTCTTGTTTTTTGTTTGTTTGTTTTTTTAAGACAAGAGTCTTGCTCTGTCACCCAAGCTGGAGTACACTCACTACAATCTCTGTCACCTGGGCTCAAGCAATCCTCCTGCCTCAGCCTTCCAACTAACTGAGAATCTCAGGTACATGCCACCATGCTGGGCTAATTTTTATATTTTTTGTAGAGACAAAGTTTCACAATGTTGTCCAGGCTGGTCGCAAACTCCTCAACTCAAGCGATCCGCCCGGCCTCCCAAAGTGCTGGGATTACAGGCATGAGCCACCATGTCCTCTAGTCTTCCCCCTTTAGCATACAGCCACACAGATCTTTCAGTTTCTCAAACACATCAAGCTTGTTCTTGCCCTGGGGCTTTTATACAAGCTCAGGTTAGAATGCTATGTGCCTTGATATATCTAACTCTTCCTTGTTATTAAGAGTTCAGCTTAACTTTCACCTCCTCAGAGAGCTCCTTCTGAAAATTCCCAGTCTAAAATTGCGTTGCTCTATTTTAATTCTCTCCATAACAATTATCATCATTTGATATATCTTGTTTATATATTTAATTTTCTGTTTCAACATATTAGATGTAAACCCCATAAAAGTACTTTATCATTTTGTTCATGGCAATTAGGATGAATCTGTTTCATATATTAAAAAGAAGAAACTACAAATGTTTTTGTATTATCAATTTCATGTGGCGCAAGCTAATATATCTGCAGCACCAAGAGTACTGTGTAGCACATAGCAAGCAGGCACTTAATAAAAAATAGAATAAATGAATATCATAGAAATTTGTGTACATGTTTATATCCATGAAAGCAGGGCAGTATCTAGCGTAGGATTAGATGCATTTGACCATACTAATGAAATTATTAAATTTAAAAAGTAAATGGTCCAAATAAAATCATAAATCATCCAAATAAAATTAAATACTAAATTAGCAAGCTCAATATTTGTTAAATTTCTACATTTTGACATAAATGAAGGTGGCAGCTCTTTCGCTTTAAAAATTGAAACTGTAGCTGGGCATAGGGGTGTACACCTATATTCCCTGCAGCTTGGGAGGTTAGGGCAGTTAAGATCATTTGGCCGGACGTGGTGGTGCACACCTGTAATCCCAGCAGGAAGGTCAAGATGGGTGGATCACCTGAGGTCAGGAGTTCGAGACCAGCCTAACATGGTGAAACCTCATCTCTACTAAACACAAAAAATTAGCCAGGCATGGTGGCACATGCCTATAATCCCAGCTACCTGGGCGGTTGAGGCAAGAGAATCACTGGAACCCAGGAGGTGGAGGTTGTAGTGAGCCAAGATCATGCCATTGCACTCCAGCCTGTACAACTAGAGCGAAACTCTGTCTCAAAAAAAAAAAAAAAGATCGTTTGAGGCAAGGAGTTCAAAACCAGCTTGAGTAACATAGCAAGATCCCATCCCTAGAAAATTAATTAAAATTTAAAAATGCAAACTTTATAAAGATCAACTTGTCCATTTTGTGATTTTTAAAAATCCATATTCAATAAAAATAGATCTAAGCCATTATTTTTCTCAGATTCTATTCATTCACAAATAGCTCCTATGTTTCAGGTACTATGCTAGAACAGAATCATTTCCTAATGGCCTCCGTATAGTATGATTTTAAATATTATGTGCAATGCAAAAAAAGTTTAGAAAGTATTTGTTTACTGTATTACCTGTTTTAATATGAAGTGGAGGAAGAACATTCACATGGTGAGGTGGCAAAATGCAAAGCTGCTGATTGGTGAAATAGGCAGCCATGAAACGAGCCATGGACTGGACAACTCTCACAGCTGCCTCAGGATGAACACCGTCCGTCATTCCACACTCAAAATGAGACTTCACAGCACCTAAGGAATATAGCAATAACCTAAGAAGATTGTGATCAACTACCAAAAGTATTAATATTTAAGTTCCCAACATTATACAAAAAGAAAATTGTAACATTTTTTTCTGAGATGAGCACCTATGGCCTACACAAACTGAGTTATAATAGGTACCATACTTCTTGAAGACAATAAAAAGAAAAACAATTACAGTTGACCCTTCATAGGATGAACTTCACAGGTTTGAACTGCACAAATCCACTTACATGTAGATTTTTTTTCATAAGTATACTAGGAAATGTTTTGGAGATTTGTGACAATTTGAAAAACCTTGTAGGCATACCATATAACCTAGAAATATATATATATAAAAAAAGGAAAAAGGTATGTCATGAATATAAAAAATATATGTAGATAATTATTTTATCATTTAGTACTATAAAATATATATAAATTATAAAAAGTTAAAATTTATCAAAATTGGCTGGGTACAGTAGCTCACATCTATAATTCCAGAACTTTGGGAGGCCAAGGTGGGCAGATGTCTAGAGCTCAGGAGTTCGAGACCAGCCTGGGCAACATGGTGAAATCCCATCTCTACAAAAAAATACAAAAAATACAAAAAAAATTAACTGGGCATGGTGGTGAGCACCGATAGTCCCAGCCACTTGGGGCACTGAGGTAGGAGGATCGTTTGAGCCTGGGAGGTAAAGACAGTGAACTGAGATCGTGCCAGTACACTCTAGCCTAAGCGACAGAGCTAGATAGACCCTGACTCGAAAAAAAAATTATCAACATTTACACAAACACTTATAGGCCATATATGGTACTGTTCACAGTCAAGAGAAATGTAAACACACACAAAGTATTAAATAACTGCATAAAATTCATTGTAGTTCCTACTGTACCACTATATTAATTTTGTAGCTACTTCCTGTTGATACTTTGAGGAGCTAAAGTGTTGCAAGTATTTACTTAAAATGCTGTGTGATGATATTCACCTCTGCATGAGCAGTTCATCTCTCCAGTAAAGTGCATAGGGCAGTAAAAAGCAATCTCACAATTCTTGGGTAGTTATCATCACATTTAGTGCAATACCACAAACCTTTTTTTTTTTTTTTTTTTTTATAAGAGGGAGTTTCGCTCTTGTTACCCAGGCTGGAGTGCAATGGCGCGATCTCGGCTCACCGCAACCTCCGCCTCCTGGGTTCAGGCAATTCTCCTGCCTCAGCCTCCTGAGTAGCTGGGATTACAGGCACGTGCCACCATGCCCAGCTAATTTTTTGTAGTTTTAGTAGAGACAGGGTTTCGCCTTGTTGACCAGGATGGTCTTGATCTCTTGACCTCATGATCCACCTGCCTCGGCCTCCCAAAGTGCTGGGATTACAGGCGTGAGCTACCGGGCCCGGCCCACCACAAACCTTGAATAACACCACGGGACCTACAGGAAGTACCACTAGAGATCCTAGAAATGTTCTAAATAAGCAGGAAAAATTCATGACATTACAAGCAAAAGTTGAATTGCCTGAGACACACCATGGATTGAGGTCTGCAGCTACGGTTGTCCACCATTTCTGATAAATCATCTTGGAAACATATAACTTAAACTTGTAAACTTGTGGTATCAATAAATATACTACAATACTGGAAATGTATTTTCCCTTACAATTTTTTCTTTTTTTGAGATGGAGTTTCACTCATTGCCCAGGCTGGAGTGCAATGGCTCGATCTCAGCTCACCACAACCTCCGCCTCCTGGGTTCAAGCAATTCTCCTGCCTCAGCCTCCCGAGTAGCTGGGATTACAGGCATGTGCCACCACACCTGGCTAATTTTGTATTTTTAGTAGAGACACAGGGTTTCTCCATGTTGGTCAGGCTGGTCTCGAACCTCAGGTAATCTGCCCACCTCGGCCTCCTAAAGTGCTGGGATTATAGGCATAAGCCACCATGCCGGGCCTCTTACAATTTTCCGTGTGTGTGTGTGTGTGTGTGTGTGTGTGTGTGTGTGTGTGTTGCTATAATACAATACCTGAGAACAATTTTCTTAATACAACTTTCCTTTCTCTAGCTTACTTTATTCTAAAAACATAGTATATAACATATACAACATACAGAATACGTGTTAATCAACTGTTTATGTTACCACTAATGCTTCCAGTAAACAGTAGGCTATTCATGGTTAAGTTTTTAGGGAGTCAAGTTATACACAAATTTTTGACAGCTGGGGGTGTCAGTGCTCCTAACCCGGGATGTTCAAGGGTCAACTGTGGTTAGTAATTATGTGCACATACACCTAAGAACTATGTACAAGTTTTTGTTTGTTTGTTTGTTTGTTTTGGGACAGAGTCTCACTCTGTAGCCCAGGCTGGAATGCAGTGGCACAATCTCAGCTCACTGGAACCTCCGCCTCCCAGTTCCCGTTTCAAGCAATTCTCCTGTCTTGGCCTCCTGAGTAGCTGGGATTACAGGCACGTGCCACGATGCCCAGCTAATTTTTGTATTTTTAGTAGAGACGGGGTTTCACCATGTTGGTCAGGCTGGTCTTGAACTCCTGACCTGTGATTCACACACCTCAGCTCCCAAATTGCTGGGATTACAGGCATTAGCCACCACGCCCGGCCTTTACATTTTATCTTTTTAAATGGAAATACCTACCCAAAACGGCCCAATCATGACGGCCTTGCAAGCTTAGAATTTCATTATTTATTTTTGTTTTTCCTTCCCTTTCCCTTTTTTTTTTTTTTTTAAGATAAAAGGGGCAGGGCTTACTGCAAAATAATCTAAAAAGAACTGAAACAGGGATTTTTTTTTTTTGAAACAGACTCTTGCTCTGTCAGCCATGCCAGAGTGTAGTGGCACAATCTCAGCTCACTGCAACCTCTGCCTCCAGGGTTTAGGCCACCTTCCGGCCTCAGCCTCCTGAGTAGCTGGCCTCCTGAGTAGCTGGGATTATAGGCACAAGCCACCATGCCCAGCTAATTTTTTTGTATTTTCTTGGTCAAGATGGGATTTCGCCATGTTGGCCAGGCTGGTCTTGAACTGCTGAGCTCAAGTAATCAGCCCACCTCAACCTCCTAAAGTGCTGGGATTACAGGTGTGAGCCACCATGTCCGACCCAAGATTTTTTTTTTTTTTTTTTTTTTTTGAGACGGAGTCTTGATCTGTCGCCCAGGCTGGAGTGCAGTGGCACAATCTCGGCTCACTGCAACCTCCGCCTCCCGGTTCAAGTGATTCTTCCGCCTCAGCCTCCCGAGTAGCTGGGACTACAAGCACATACCACTATGCCCAACTAATTTTTGTATTTTTAGTAGAAACAGGGTTTCACCATCTTGGTCAGGATGGTCTCAATCTCTTGACCTCATGATCTGCCCAACTCGGCCTTCAAAAGTGCTGGGATTACAGGGGTGAGCCACTACGCCCAGCCCCAACCCAAGATTCTTAATGCTTTTGTCTGTACCATTAGATACTCCTATTAGTAATAATAGCTCACTAGTATAAGATTTTTGGTGGAGGTAACAGCAAAAACAAAGTTTGGGGTGGGCTGGGCACAGTGGCTCATGCCTGTAATCCCAGCACTGTGGGAGGTCAAGGTGGGAGGATCATTTGAGTCAGTCCAGGAGTTTGATACCAGCCTGGGCAACATGGAGAAACCCCATCTCTACAAAAAATGCAAAAATTAGCCGGATGTGGTAGCATGTGCCTATAGTCCCAGCTTCTCAGTAGGCTGAGGCAGGAGAATCACTTGAGCCTGGGAGTTGAAGCTGCTGTGAGCTGTGATCATGCCACTGCACTCCAGCCTAGGTAACAGAGTGAGGTCCTGTCTCTCACACAAACATACATACATATACACACACACACACACACACACAAATGTATGGGGTGAAGGGAGATGGCTAGAGAACAGGTGGGCAGAAGAGTCACATCAAAATTTCTGGCATAACTCTGATATGCACTAGCAGGAGCAAAGGACATGCATCATTTCCACTTGAGAATCAAAACTCAGTAATAATGTAACCTGGCATTCACAAATTTGAAAATAAGTTAACTCAAAATTACTAAATACTGTATAGACAAATATGAGGATCACATCAGTTGTTATGAAGCGTATGGCCCCAACAACAGAAAAGTAAATTTATTTTCCAGAAGTGAACTGGCATATATTCATGAGAAATTAAGTTTTATATGCGTATGGATTTCTGTCTTGTTCATTTTATGTCCCAGCACCTAGGACTTCTCCTCTCATATAGTAGGCACTCAAAGGAATATTGCTAATAAATACTGTTAATTAATGTTAGCTGGTTTCTTTTTTAAATAAAAGGAATTGAGAAAATTTTGTTAGCCTTCAAGCAGTAGTCTTCATTTGGTCACTGTAATATTTGGAAAAAAAATCATACTATTTCTTCACATTCAAGTTAAAGATACATGGGTAAGAATTTTTTTCACCTGGGTAAAACTTACTGTAGGAATTATACAAAGGAAAGAGTTTTCAGTAATCTTAATCATGCAAAACTCAGGATCAGCCTCTTAAATACAAGTGACCTGATGATAAAAGTTACTGTCACAGAATAAAGCTGTATCAATTCAAAAGTTAAAAAAATTTTGAAAGTATAACTCTTGACCGGGTGTGGTGGCTCACACCTGTAATCCCAGCCCTTTGGGAGGCAAAGGCAGGTGGATCACCTGAGGTCAGGAGTTTGAGACCAGCCTGGCCAACATAAAACTCTGTCTCTACTAAAAACACAAAAAATTAGCTGGGCATGGTGGTGCACACTTGTAATCCCTGCTACTAGTGAGGCTGAGGCAGGAGAATCACTTGAACCCAAGAGGTGGAGGTTGCAATGAGCCAAGATTGCATCCAGCCTGGGTGACAAAGCGAGATTCCATTTGAAAAAAAAAAAAATTAAAAGAAAAAAAACATAATTCTGTATAGGGTGCGGTGATAATGTTAATAACAAAAACTCATGATTATAAGCTCATGCCTATAATCCCAGCACTTTGGGAGGCCAAGGTGGGCAGATCACCTGAGGTCAGGCATTTGATACCAGCCTGACAAACATGGTGAAACCCTGTCTCTACTAAGAATACAAAAAAATTAGCCAGGCATGGTGGCAGGAACCTATAATCCCAGCTACTCAAGAGACTGAGGCAGGAGAATCGCTGGAACCCAGGAGGCAGAGGTTGCAACCAGCCAAGATCATACCACTGCACTCCAGCCTGGGTGATAAGAGTAAGACTTCATCTAAAAAAAATAAAAATAAAAAAATAATAATAGAAACTCTTACTAATAAAAATTAAATTATAACCATAGACAATTACTTGATATGGTAAGTGTGCAGAAAAGAACTACCATAGCATGCATGGCTGCTTGAAATACTTGCTTATAAGGTTGGTCCTTGGCTGGCATCTGGGACTTGGATTTTGGGAGGATTTCCACAATCCTAACTGATAAGAGGAGCTCACTGAACCTAAACTGTTTGTATAAACAATGTAGTTTATGCTGAACATCTGTTTTCCCTCTGGGAGTGTAGAATTTTGGTTTGTACTAAAGCAGAAGGGGTCTATGTGATCAGCCTTCAATCAAAAACCCCGAGCACTGAGGTTCTAATGAACTTCCCTAGTAGACTATATCCTAGGTATGTTGTCACACCTTGTCACTGAGGGAATTAGGGACATCCTGTGTGACTCTACTGGGAGAGGATTCATAGAAGTTTATTCCTGGTTTTCTTCAGACTTCATCCTATGCACTTTAGGATTCTCCCTTTGCTGATTTTCCTCTGTTTCCTTTCACTGTAATAAGTCATAGCTATGAGCACAACTATATGCTAAGTCTTGGGAGTTCTCCTGGTGAGCCATCAAATCTAGGGGGTAGTTATGGGATCCACAACCCAGTAAGTATATGCTTAATATATTTTAAGCAATTATCAATAAAAATTAAAACAAAGCCCGGCACAGTGGCTCACACTTGTAATCCTAGCACTTTGGGAGGCTGAGGCAGGCAGATCATGAGATCAGGAATTCGAGACCAGCCTGACCAACACAGCAAAACCCCATCTCTGCTAAAAATATAAAAATCAGCCAGACTTGGTGGCACACACCTGTAATCCCAGCTACTCAGGAGGCTGAGGCAGGAGAATCACTTGAACTGGGAGGCAGAGGTTGCAGTAAGCCAGGATCGCCCCACTGCACTCCAGCCTGGGCAACAAGAGTGAAACTCTGACTCAAAAAATAATAATAATAATTAAAATAAATGAATTACTACAGGTTCAACTTACCATGAAAGTTAAATCATGTAAGAACAATATTGTAAAAATAAATAAAGACTAGTATATAAAAAGTCATATATAGAAGTCTTTTACCCTGGGTACAGTGGCTCACACATGTAACCCCAGCATTTTGAGAGGCTGAGGTGTGGAGATTGCTTGAATCCAGGAGTTCAAGACCAGCCTGGGCAACATACCAAGACCCATATTTATAAATAATGAAATAATTTTTAAAAATTAGTCAGGCATGGCTAGGCACAGTGGCTCACGCCTGTAATCCCAGCACTTTGGGAGGTTGAGGCGGGCAGATCACAAGGTTTCAAGACCAGCCTGACCAACAAGGTGAAACTCCTTCTCTACCAAAAATACAAAAATTAGCCGGGTTTAGTGGCGTATACCTGTAATCCCAGCTACTCAGGAGGCTCAGGCAAGAGAATCACTTGAACCCAGGAGGTAGAGGTCGCAGCGAGCCAAGATCGCGCCACTGCACTCCAGCCTGAGCAACAGAAGGAGACTCCGTCTCAAAAAAAAAAGTATTAGTCAGGTGTGAAGCCCATGCCTGTGGTCCCAGCTACCTCATTTCCCAACAGCTTCATTTCTCGAATTTATCTTAAAGAAATTATTGGTGGCTGGGCACAGTGGCTCATGCCTGTAATCCCAGCACTTTGGGAGGCCGAGGCAGGTGGATCACAAGGTCAGGAGATCAAGACCATCCTGGCTAACATGATGAAACCCCGTTTCTACTAAAAATACAAAAAAATTAGCCAGGTGTGGTAGCAGGCACCTGTAGTCCCAGCTACTCAGGAGGCTGAGACAGAAGAATTGCTTAGACCCGAGAGGCGGAGGTTGCAGCCAGCCAAGATCGCGCCATTGCATTCCAGCCTGGGTGACACAGTGAGACTTCATTTCAAAAAAAAAAAAAAAAGAAATTATTAGTAATGCTCACAAATATTTAGGTATACTGCAGCATTATTTAAAATAGTAGGGCCGGGCGCGGTGGCTCAAGCCTGTAATCCCAGCACTTTGGGAGGCCGAGGCGGGTGGATCACGAGGTCAAGAGATCGAGACCATCCTGGTCAACATGGTGAAACCCCGTCTCTACTAAAAATACAAAAAATTAGCTGGGCATGGTGGCGCGTGCCTGTAATCCCAGCTACTCAGGAGGCTGAGGCAGGAGAATTGCCTGAACCCAGGAGGCAGAGGTTGCAGTGAGCCCAGATCGCGCCATTGCACTCCAGCCTGGGTAACAAGAGCGAAACTCCATCTCAAAAAAAAAACCAAAAAACAAACAAAATAGTAAACACATGGCAACAACCAAAATTTACAATAATGGGGAACAGTCTCAATAGATTTTTTTTAAAGTTTACTGGCACTGGAAAATATTCATCATAATATTAAATTTAAAGAGATTATCCAGCTGTGGTAACATACATATATACATGTGTCAAAAGGCCTTAGACAAAAAAAAAACTAAACTTATAAGTGATTTTGTTTCCTCTCTACCTTTCCATATTTTCTTTCTTTTTTTTTTTTTTTTGAAATGGAGTCCAGCCCAGGATAGAGTACAATGTCACAATCTCAGCTCACTGCAACCTCTGCCTCCCAGGTTCAAGCCATTCTCCTGCCTCAACCTCCCAAGTAGCTGGGATTACAGGACCCACCATCACACCCAGCTAATTTTTTGTATTTTTAGTGGAGACCAGGTTTCACTATATTGGCCAGTCTGGTCTCAAACTCCTGACATCGTGATCTGCCTGCCTCGGCCTCCCAAAGTACTGGGATTACAGGCATGAACCACAGTCCATATTTTCAAAATTGCCTACAATGAACATGTATTACATCCTTAATGAACACAAAAATTTTAAAAGATAAAAATCACAAAGTAAACCAGGCACAGTGGCTCACTCCTGTAATCCCAACACTTTGGGAAGACGAGGTGGACAGACTGCTTGAGCCCAGGAGCTCAAGATCAGCCTGGGCAACATGGTAAGATCCCATCTCTACAAAAAATATGAAAATTAGCCAGGCATGGTGGCACACACCTGTAGTCCCAGCTACTTGGGAGGCTGAGACAGCAGGATGGCTTGAACCCAGGAGGCAGAGGTCAGGTGAGCCAAGATCACTCAACTGCACTCCAGCCTCACCAACAGAATAAAACCATATCTACAAAAGTAAAGACCAGGCATGGTGGCTCATGCTTGTAATCCCAGCACTTTGGGAGGCCAAGGCAGGCAGATCACTTGAAGTCAGGAGTTCAAAACCAGGATAATTGCTTGAACCTGGAAGGCAGAGATTGCAGCGAGCTGAGATCAAGCCATTGCACTCCAGCCTGGGCAACAAGAGCAAAACTCCATCTCAAAAAAGAAAAAACCCTCAAGAATCAAATTAGCATCAACTCTACTTAGATATTCCAGATACACTGGGTCTTTCAGATACATTCATATATACAGTATACATCTAGCAGTCTACTACTCTATAATCATTATAAATATATTACATGTTCATTCATATATTTCCCCCCTCTGGTTATTGCCTAATTTAAATATACCTCTTTGAAAAAGTCAATCCAGATACTCTCCAATCTCTTAAATAGATATTTTAAAAGACTCAAAGTATCTCAGAAAAAGATTTTTATGATTTCACTAAACCACTGTAAGCAATAGTTAACATACTAAGGAAAAACACTTGGGTACCTAATATTACGTCTAATAAATATGGTTCTAAGAAACCAATTATACTATCAGCTCAGCAGGCAATTACTATACTGCTAAATCCTGGGCATTCTAAGATTTAAAAACATACAAACAAAAAACCCCAACATAGTTCCTGCTATTGGGAAGCTGAGAGTCCAAAATCCAACATAATACAGTTAGTCGTTAGAGAGGTAGAACAACCAGCTCTTATGTATAAGCAATTTGACGTCTATAACCTATAAATACAAACTAACAAGTAAATTATACTGAAATCTGTAGATCTAGCTACTTGAGGAGGCTAAGGTGGAAGGATTACTTGAGCTCAGGGGTTTGAAGCCAGCCTGGCAACGTACGGAGACCCTGACTCTTTTTTAAAAGAAAAAAAAAGCATACCTGAAAATTCTTTATTTTCTTTTACGGGTAGTTGGGACCATCTCAGGATTTCTCTTGCTAAGTGATCACACAATCCTTGAGCATCATTTAAATTATAACTATAGAGGTGGCAGTATAAGAGGGAAAGATAATAGCGTATCTGAAGAAAATACGTCCTTCTTCCTCCTGAAACAAGAATTAAGCTCACCTTAAAAGTATGTAAGCAAGGGAATACTCTTGGTGTAGTGTTCAATTGACAGGAGTGTATAGTTTGTGAAAATTCATCAAGTTGTCCACTCATTATATGTAAACTTTTCTATATCTGTTTCACACTTCAATATAAGGTTTTTTTTTAACAGGTGAATCATACTTTGCCCTTTTTCATTTTAAATTCTAAACAATTTATTTTCTTATATCAGGCCCTAGGATGACTTAGATTTTATCTAAAGAGAGCTGTAAATTCTTATCAACTTAGCATTAAGGTCTACTGATAACTTCTATCTCAAGTATACACAGTATGAAACAGAAGGGAACATGCCACAAAAACTCGCTCTTGTTGCCCAGGCTTGAGTGTATATCAAAGAGATGGCCAAAAAGACTTCCTGAAAAAGAAACAGTTATCCAATAAGATAGGAGCCCCTGACAACTGCCTTTACATATCAGAAGACCGAAACTGTTGGTCGCCTACCTCTTATCTATTCTTTCTGAGTAAAATAATTCCAATTTTATTTAAGGTTATAATGCACCCAGATCACAATTTCTCACACATGTGGCCATGTAAAAATGTGACTATGTTCCAACTCAAGAGATAATATTGTACACAATTTCCAGAAAAGCTGCTTAAAGAAGGTAAATCAGAAAGCTAGGAAATGCAACCTTTCCAGCTCTTCCAACCTTTGTCCTATTAGCTGCTTAGAATATGGATGTGATAGCTGAAGGTCTAGGAACCATCTTAGCCTCTGTAATGGCCTTAAGACTGGAGGCAATGCACTAAAGGTGATGCAGTAGAAAAACTAAAGGAGCCTGGGGCGTTGGTGATACGGTGGAAACACCACATCAGCCCCAAACTGCAACTTCTGCTCTCCTTTCACAAAGGAAAGCCACTCTTTCTCTGTTGAAGCCACTGCTACTTTCAGTCTCCACTAATAGAAGCCATTCCTAATAGATGCAGTTGAATGAAATTAAACAAAATGTCCACAATGGAGCTCATTATGAAAACTTTTCTACATCCAGAACTTCACATTTCAGTGAATGCTGTTCTTCTTCATCCAGATGGACAATCCCCAAGTCAGAGAACTACTCTAGCTTTCTTTCTCCAAATCTACTCAATCAGAAGTAGACTAGTCAAGCCTATTAAATAACTGTCAAATGTGACCTCTGTTCTCCATTACCCTTGACATTGCTTTGGTTTCAAGCCTCCTCGTCTGAGTGACTTTCTTGCTTCCAAGTAAAACCCACATCCCTACATAATAGTCCTGCAACTGACCTTCCACAACTATACCAAAGTGATCTTTCTAAACAGCCTATCCTTATTTCTATAAGTCCTTTTCCTATCTAAAGTGTCCTAACCAATCCCACTGTCTTCAAGATAAAATCTTAATTTCTTAGCACTCCATACAAGACCCTCCTTCATCATCTGTTGTCCATCTACCTCTCGACTTAGCTCTTATCATCCTATCACCAATATCATATATAATACACATATCACATAACTAGTCCTACTAAACTACTTGAAGTTTACCAAATTGCCAGGCCTTTTTGGTTTTGGAATGCTATATCCTCTGTTAAACCATTCCCATGACTTTAATTGGCCAATCTCTACTCAATTTTAAATGTCAACTCCAAGAGGCCTTCCTCAGACTGATGCTTGCACTCCAGCCTGATTTTATTGAGGTACTCTTCTGTGTTCCCTAAACACCTACCATAAAACATAATGAGAAAAGTGACTGTGGGCAACTGGAGGGTAAAGTTGTTTATTTCAGTTATCATTAGTGCCTAACAGAGTGCTGGGCACATAGCAGGCACTCAACAAATATTGGTTAAGTAGATGAGTGAATGAAACATACAAAGCCACAGCAGTCAGAAAATAAATTTAATAATGGGCCAAATCTGACCATGTAAGAGTTGCAGTCAAGGCTAGTTCCAGGGTCACCAGCTGAGAACCTCTGTCATCTCAGCCATATCCTCAGTCCTATATCATAAAAGCTGTAACTAGTTTCTAACATCCACGTCCCTATATCCTTATCAAAAACTCCATGAAGCCCCTACTTAATGCAACGATACGGTTAACTGACATACAATTCTTAAAGTTAAATTACTTAAAGGCAAAAAGCCCTTGCTCCATGTTTCTGTAAATCTGTAAGAAGGTGGTGAAATATATGACCTATAGGTTCCCATTTAGACACTTGCAGTCTAAATTACAAAAAAAAAAAAGTCCACATTATTTTATATAAAATCTAAATCTCATTTTTCCTATCAACAATCAACCATAGGTTTTATCACAAATCAAAGAAAGGACAGAAGACTTACCTATAGATCACTGAAAAGATTCTTAGTGTTACCAATTCCAAGGTTAAGAATAATTTTAGATAAGTATTCATGAGCAGCAAGTTGCCTAAACATGTATTCTATTTGGCATTAGGATATCACAAGCAATCTGGAATTTAGAATTATTTTTAAGGTCTACACCAAGCTAAAAGCTGTACTGCTAATATTATGGCATGTATTTTTTTTAAACTCTCCTACCTTTCTCTTGGATTTCTTGTAGAGCGTCTTTCCACAGCTGAACAGACTTTTCATATGATCCTAATAAGAAACACTCTTCCCCTACAAAGTTTTTAACCAACAATTAGTCATAATTATATTACTTCATAAAAATTTACTTTGTTTTAAAATTCAGTTAATGGAGCTCAGCCAGAAATTATTTTGAAAAACAAATCATTACAACCAATTCGAAATTCAAAGTCTGATTAACTATATCATTTTTCATAGAGCTAGAAAATGTTCATAAGATACTGACCATCAATAGATTTAAGTTCTAAGGTTTGGTTCAAGTGATCTCCAGTAGTCTGTAGGTTAGCCTGCAAATGACATAACAGGGACTTGACAGTAGATGCTTCATGTGTCAACTTTCCAGTTAACTGACTATCACCTTCAGGAACTCTTCGATTTAATTGTGCTTGATACCATAAAGTTTTTTTGTACAATACTCTCCAGAGAACAATCAATCTGCACATAAAATCAGGTAATTATCAAAAGCAAATTTCAGACTAATAATGATGAGTTTAGCCTCCTTTTTAGCCCTTTTTTTTTTTGGCCTGTATTCTTCACCAACATAATAACATACATACAAACTAATCAGATTTAAATATAGTGCAAAATCAAATGATCAAAAAATGTCTAATATAGATAAAATCTTCATAAATGTTTTAAGCACCTGCAATCTTTCTGTTTAAGATATGGGGTCTCGCTATGTTGCCCAGACTGATCTCAAACTCCTGGGCCCGAGCAATCGCCCTACCTCAGCCTCCCGAGCAGGTGAGATTACAGGTATGTGCCACTACACTCCAGCCTGGGAGACAGGGTCTTGCTCTGTCACCCAGACTGAATTGCAATGGCTCCATCACAGCTTATTGTAGCCCCAACCTCCTGGAATCAAGCAATCGCCCATCTCAGCCTCTCAGGCAACTGGGACCACAGGTATACCACACTGTTTTTGGTGTTTTTCTTTTTCAGAAAGGGTCTCTTTCTGTCGCCCATGCTGGAGTGCAGTGGTGTGATATTTGCTCAAACTCTGCCTCCTGGGCTCAAGCAATCCTCACCTCAGCCTCCTGAGTAGCTGGGATTACAGGCACATGCCAACAGGCCTGGCTAATTTTTTTTTTTTTTTTTTTTTTTGAGACGGAGTTTCACTCATGTTACCCAGGCTGGAGTGCAATGGCGCGATCTCGGCTCACCGCAACCTCCGCCTCCTGGGTTCAGGCAATTCTCCTGCCTCAGCCTCCTGAGTAGCTGGGATTACAGGCACGCACCACCATGCCCAGCTAATTTTTTGTATTTTTAGTAGAGACGGGGTTTCACCATGTTGACCAGGATGGTCTCGATCTCTTGACCTCGTGATCCACCCGCCTCGGCCTCCCAAAGTGCTGGGATTACAGGCTTGAGCCACCGCGCCCGGCCTGCCTGGCTAATTTTTTAGCTGTGGAGTTTCATCATGTTGCCCAGGCTACTCCTGGGCTCAAGTGATCCACCTGCCTCAGGCTCCCAAAGTGCTGGATTACAGGTGTGAGCCACTGTGCCCAGCTAATTTTTTAAGTAATTTTTCAATAGAACTTAACTAAACAAAAATCTTTCAACATCATGGTTTTCCAAGACCAAGAAAATATGCATTGTACAACATTTGGCATAAATCCTAAAATTTTTTTTTTTTTTTTTTTTTTTTTTTTGGAGGGTGTTTGCTCTTTTCCCCCCTGGGGGGGGATGGGGGGGTTCTCGGCCGCCCCCACCCCCCCCTCCTGGGGT